TTAACCCCAAAACCCAAGTCCCAGACTCCCCACTCCTCCCCCCCCCCCCCCCCCCCCCCCCCAAAGGTGCCTTCCCGAGCTCAGAGTGTCTGAAGTCAGGCGCCAGTAGCAGACCCTGATGGCCAGGACTCTGAGGGTTTCAGCAAGCGTTTAGGGTTTAGGGTTTAGGGTTTAGGGTTTAGGGTGTAGAGGGTTCAGAGGGTTTAGGGTTTAGGGTTTAGGGTTTAGGGTGTAGAGGGTTCAAGGGGTTTATAGGGTTTACAGGGTTTGAGGGTTTAGAGGGTTCAGGGGTCTGTAGGGTTCATAGGGTGTATAGGGTCTAGAGGGTTTATGGCGCTCATTGGGTTTAGAGGGCTTAAATAAAGGGTTAGGGTTTATGGGGTTTACAGGGTTTTTAGGCTTAGAGGGTTTTAAATCGGGCTAACAGGGTTTGGGTTTAGAGGGTTTCGAGGGATTAGGGTCCAGGGTGGTTTCAGGATTTAGGGTCTTGCTGTTGGGTTGAACTCTGAAGAGAATCCTTAGTATTTTGGGTACCGTACACCCCACCCCCCCCCCCAAAAAAAGGTGCCACGAGCAATTAAGTAACATAGCCGCAACCACAAACCCACAAACGGAAAGAATTCGGTGACCCAGGCTCAGGGGATCAGTCATCGAATGGGATAGAATTCTTTTCAGAAAGAGCAATTGATGGAGATAGCGGTCTCTAATCTGGTTGACTTGCAACCCTAAACCCTAAACCCTAAACCCTAAATCTTGGTGGAGGTTTCAACAAAGCTCGTAGACTTCGGAAGCGCCTCAAGTACCGCACCACACCAGGGCTGTGGACCGACATGCGGTTTAGGGTTTAGGGTTTAGGGGTTTAGGGCTTAGGGTTACGAGAAGAAGGGGTCTTGAATAAAAACCCCCAGATGGTATCCCCAAATCGTAGGATTCGCTTAGAAATAAAGATCCCAATGAGGCAACCCCTAACTTCCCCCTAACTTCAGAGAACCCCCATGTGCCGACACCTCCTAGACAACCCTCAACCCTAAACCCTAAACACTAAACCCTAAACCTTAACGCTCGGTCTGAGGTCCAGGCACCGGCAGCACAAAGGCGATGTTCATGCAAAAGAAAGATCTTAGCGCCAGAGTCGCTCAAGGCTCTGGGGAAGGTCCAGGGCTTGGGGTTTGGGGTTTGGGGTGTGGGGTGTAGGGTTGAGGGTTGAGGGTTTAGGGTTTAGGGTCTCGGGCATCCAAGGTCCAAGGTGTGAGGGGGGAGGGCTGGCTTGTGTTCGAGCAGGGGGGGGGGGGGGGGGGTCTGCAAGTTTACTCTGGCTGGAGGTATCTTCTTCTGTTGCCCCGATCTACCTTCCGCGCGCCTCCTTACATACAAAAAGTTGCTGCAAGGCAGGAACCCTATTGAAAGTGAGCAGTGCTGCTTCCATCACGACGAACTGCTCTTAGCATGTCAGAGGCAGGTATGTCCTCCTACGAACATATTTCTTTGCCTAGCTTTGCTGACTACCAGCCGCCAGCAGAAACAGCAGTTGCCTGTATACTTTCCACGGAGGTCAATGATCACGCCGTCATGATTGCATACTGTGCCCTCAACACAAGACCCCCAAACTAAACCCCAAAACCAGGAGTCACACACGGCATGAGTCACCGCCGGCTAAGGGCGCCGCCCCAAAAGGTTGAGCAAGAATGCCTCAGGCTCAAGGGCTTCTGAGGGGTAAGTTCGCCCACGGTACTTGCCAGATGTTGTCGCCCAAACTGCGTGGAAGCAACGATGCACACGGCCTGCTTTCGTTCACCAGAGATGATGTCCGACAATTCCTGTGCTAATCCTATGACTCACTCGATTATATCCTAGAGTGTGCCACCACGCCCGTAATCGAATGCGCACCCGCTTAGCATTCCACGCTTGAAAGTGCTAAGTGCAACTCCACACTGCGGAATTCCTACAACGAATCTTTGATGAGTAGAGTTGGAAAGGCACCATGCTTGTGGTCAGAGCAAGTGCGAAACCTGGGTTTTTAGATTCCCACGGACAGACAACTGAGGCCTCGTGTGCGTGTGTCGTCCACTCAGAGCCCGCAGTTGCCGCTGCAAGCCGATTCCGGGGTAGCAAACTTACATCTGCTCTACCCGAATCTGAGCCCGTCTTTAAAGGATCCTGGCGGAGGATCCTCGACCACGAAAAACCAGGACGACCAAAACAACAGTCATTTGGGTCTAGGGTTTAGGGTTTAGGGATGTTTTGCCCTGTTGCGGATTTGGTGTTGTAGAGGACCAATCCTGTCAGGAAACGGCTTTGAGTGGCTTCCCTGAAATCAATCAACACCCCTTGTCCCGCACCATGGCCCTGGCCATCTCGTTGGCAAAGTGAACTGCCACTAACGCAGACACCTAAGCACCATGGAGGAGCAGAGCCACGACCTCTGGGGGGGGGGGGAGTCTGTAGTTTCGGCTTTGCAAGCTGTGTATTGTGTCATGCTGTGTCCGCGGCCAGCAGCACCACTGGAGTCACCGCGCCTTGCGCAACCTGGCACCGAGGCTCAGAGTTTTGCGCGCATCCGAGGGCCTATAGGGCCCCTTCGGCTCAGAACACACAAAGAACGCTCCAATGCTCTGCCGCGAAAAGAGCTCCGCTGCAGAGCATCAGACATCTGCATATCAGGAACTGGAATGAACATCCATGAACATCATGAAACTCGACAAACCTCTCTACAGTGGAGGGCCTCCGCAGAGCTTTCCGACAGCCGCCGCGCTAGGGCTCCCTGCAGCAAAGGCGTCCGTCGTATAGGGGTCGGAAGAATAACTAATTCGCCCCCTTTGTATTCTTACTAGAGTACCCCCAAAAACCTATTCTAATCACTAAGGCCCCTATATTACTTTTCTAGCGTGCCGGTAGAGCTGCAAGGTTGCCAAATAGTGGCAGTTCTTGCTCATTAACTTGCTTGTTTGGCTGGCTTGCTGGGTTCTTGTGCTTGTTGTGCTTGGTTGCTGCAGCATGCTGCAAGTACCAGTGACACCCTGAACCCCCCTAAGCCCTAACTAAATCCCACGATGAACCCCTGAACCCTAAACCCCATAAACCCTAAATTCTATCAACTGCCAACCCTATCCACCCTAAACTCTATTAACCCAAAGAAACCTATCAACCCTAAAAAATTCTACTAACCCCAAAAAACGGTATGGACCCTACAAACCCTCACCCTAAACTCTAAACGCCAAACCCTAAACCCTAAATCCTTTAAACCCTAAACCCTGAACTCCAAACGCTGAAACCCTAAACCCTAAGCCCTAAACCCTAAACCCTAACCCTGACTTCCCTTTGGTTGGGGCCCTGCCTTGATCACAGCTGTCAGGGGCGACAGCACCTGAGCACCCGCAACGTTGAGGGGAAGGCTTAGGAGCTTTAAGGGACTTTGCGAGGGTTTAGGGTTTGGGCGGGTTTTGGGTTTAGGGCTTAAGGGACTTGATGGCCTTTCAGGGCATTTAGTGGCCTCTTCGGGGTTATGAAGGGCTGAGGGGTTTGTTGGCTTCGGTGGCCAAAACTGTGAAGTGAGACCTCAAACCTCTCAACTCGGCACCCTGCTCACACGAGCTTGCGCTGTAGCCAAAAATGGCGCAGCCGCTGCACAGCTCTGTGGATGCACAGCAGCCGCCCTTTTTTGATCCAAGGAACTGCAAAGCAGGGCCGCATGCTCTCTGCTTCATGGCAGAATGGGGCCCGCCACCGTTGCCAGGCACTGGCCGTTTACCCGAAGGGTCGCAAAAGCACTTCTCTTTCTTCACCGAAAGGCCGCTCGATTTGTTCCATCCCTACAAGTACAGAGCCTTAGAAGGGGCTTGGGCGATCTACTTTTCAGAAGCTTGCGTGTGCTCTAGGACCGTAGGACCCTTGTCAACTCACACAGGTCAAGGCTCAAAAGTGTGGTCCTTGGTGGGCCCCCATTGGCACAAACCACACAGTTTCGCAGGCCGCTGCACACGGCAAAGCGCACGAGGGTGCGTTGCAACACAGGACTTTAGCAGCGTTTGGGGGGAAAGATCATCGCAGATCGAAGGACCTTAGACAAAGGTCAGCGCATCGCGCATCCCGGAGACCTAAGGGAGACAATGATGGGACCTCGAAGATTTGATTTAGAACTTAGGATGTTCTGGATTCTAGGGCCTCTAGGATTCGATAGATTTCTAAGCTTGGTGCGCAAGCGGTTCGCTAGATACGGGTGCCAAAGGTGATGTCTTTTTCTTTGTAATTCATGGCGTGACTGGCTGTTGAGTGTATGTCTACACGCACACCTCGTCGTCCGAAGCTATAGCGGACTTTGGCGCGAAAATTGCACTCAGAGAAGGAGCATCGGCTCCGTTTCCAGTCCAACCGGGACAGGGCAGGACCAAAACACACTAAGTTACTAAGTTGCTAAGTTACTTACTCACTAAGTTCCTAAAGGTCCTGTACCCCTCGAATTGAAAAGCCGCCCTGCGCCTCCGGCATCACTGAAAAGCGCGTGCCGTTGCAGCTCATTAACAGGGTTATAGGGTTAAGGTACCCTAAACCCGAAACCCTAAACCCTAAACCCTAAACCTCAAACCCTAAACCCTAAACCCCAAACCCTAAACCCTAAACACAGCACCTGGGTGGGACTCGTGGCCTCGCGGGGCTCGACTTCCGCTGCCAGCCTGAGCCCACTGCCAAGTGAACGTAGTGACGCCGTCTTCATGTCACACGGGCGTCATGCCGAATGCTGAGCTCGCAAGATGCAAGAGAGGTGCCCCTTGCCTCTCTTTATCTATCTGTCCCCCCAGTTCCCCAAACCCTCTAAACCCTACATAAACCCTATATAAACCCTATATAAACCCTATATAAACCCTATATAAACCCTATATAAACCCTTTATAAACCCTATATAAACCCTATATAAACCCTATATAAACCCTATATAAACCCTATAAACCCCAACTCCACACCACCAAAAAGCCGACAGCGCCTTCTGGGGCACTCCGTGGGCCTCAGCGCCGCAGCGCCCGGTCCACGGCGTACTTGAGCCGCGTGCCCGCCGCGGCCAGCTGGGCGAGTTGATGCGCCGCCTCTTGGAGGCTACCTCCCCTTTGGCTCTTAAGAGCCCGAAGAGCCCTTAGAACCCTAAGAACCCCTTAGGAGCACTAAAGGGCATAGGGAGAATGAAGGAGTTAGGGCCGTTAGGGTTAAGGGCGCTGTTACATAATTTCCTGACTCCCTCTCTAACCTTCTCCATGCAAGCTGCAGACACAGTCTTTCTAAGTCAATGCTCGGGACCAAAATGGCACGTGCGTGCCCCAACCCGTCTCCGACAAAAATCCCTAAACCCCTAAACTCTAAACCCTAAACCCTAAACCCTGACAAACAGTGAGCCCCGGGCCTGCTCGCGAAGCTCCATGATAGCCTCTGCATCCTGCATGCGACAGCGACTCAGGGCTCAGGGTGACTCCACTGGCTGTCTGGTACTGGCTGCTTTGCGAACCTAAACCCTAAACCCTAAACCACACACACACACTCAAGATAATCACGGAAAGAATGACTGCGCGATTGCAGAGGCAACGACACAAGCACGTAGTTCGACGTTGAAGCCAGGGGTTGTCCGTATTCGAAGCCTCAGCCTCTCACTCTGCTTCCTCAACCACCAGCCATGTCATGCATGCGATTGCCCTCTGTCAGTTCTTTACAGATTCCACACATATATGGGGGCTTCCGACAATAGGGGCACCCTTTTGGGTTTAGGGTTTAGGGTTTAGGGTTTAGGGTTTAGGGTTTAGGGTTTAGGGTTTAGGGTTTAGGGTTTAGGGTTAAGAAGCCCGCGCTCGGATCCTAGCCTCGGCGCCATGGGCATCACGGAGCAAAGCGCTTCGGAGCTGCGCCAGCTCCTGCAAGGAAGGGCTTCGGCGACTTCGGCGATGTAAGGGCTTAGGGTTTAGGGTTTAGGGTTTGGGGTTTAGGGTTTAGGGCTGAACCGATACCTGAAACCCACAAAGCGCCCCCTACCTGCTTTCAAGGCCAAGATCCGTGAACACTCTGTGGTCTTTTTCTTCGGGGGCCTCGCCCAGATGCGCGCGGCGTGGGAAGCGGCTTGCGCACCCCGAGCCCAAAACGCCCTGGTGCCCCTAAACCCTAAACCCTAAACCCTAAACCCTAAACCCTAAACCCTAAACCCTAAACCCTAAACCCCGAACCATCCTTAATCATCCTGCATCCCTTCTCCGAGCTTCCAACTTTGCTGAGAATTTGCCGCCTCGACCCTCGCCGGCGTCGCCACGCCGCGGTCGGCCAGCGCAGCCTCATTCCCGTAGGGTTTAGGGTTTAGGGTTTAGGGTTTAGGGCTTGGGGTTAGGGTTTAGGGTTTAGGGTTTAGGGCTTAGGGTTTAGGGTTTAGGGTAAAGGATCAATAAGGGAGCTGGGCTCCTGTGACCCGAAACCCTAAACCCTAAACCCCCTGGGTGGCCCTAAACCTCAAACCCCCCTGGGCGCCCCTAAACCCTAAACCCCACTAACCCTAAATATGTAACCCTAAACCCTGAACCCCATGACCCTAAACCCTAAACTCCAAAACCTAAATTTGTAGCCCTGGACCCGCTTCAGCCGCTCCATGCAGGGTGCCTACAGAGATGTTCCAAACCCATCGCCTTGGCAGCCAGGCGCACCCGGGCCGAATCTGAGAGCCGGCGAAGCCTTGGAGGTGAGACTGAGAGGCTGAGAGGTCGAGATGCGGCCAGGCCAAGGCAGAGGTTGCTTTAGGGTTTAGGGTTTAGGGTTTAGGGTCTAGGGTTTAGGGTTTAGGGTTGCCCTCTGAGAAATCAAAGTTCGGAACATATGGGAGCTGAGTCTCAGTGAGTAAGACTGGAGCAGAAACTTGAGGCACCCTTCAATGACCTTCACAGCTCCCGTGCAAGAGAAAGAGAAAGGTGCTCTTGGCCATGGCACTGTTCCACCCGCACGCGTGTACGTGTCTCCAGTGGCCGCGGCTGCAAGTAGAGCCAAGCGACCTGGGAAAGAGGACAGGCGCCTGTCTATGGCATAAGAGATGCAGCTGACGACTGGTATAGTGTTGGGTGCCCTTTCCTGTCCACATTGCAATATTTATGACCTTCCAGCCTGTGAAGAAATATATCAATGGAAGCTTCTCCAATCCCGCTCCCTGAGCCACTTTTTTGTCTCTCTCTGCCCTCGCGGTTAGAGCCGTGGCCAATGAAGAACGCCTCGACCTGCTAGCAGGGCTTGTGTGTGACGTGACGGGCCATAGTGGAGGCAATTTGCATTCTCCTCCAAGATGTCACCGAGTGCCACACACAGAAAAATGCAATAAAAAGATAAATTATAATCATATAGTGCAACAACACTACCAATACAGTATCATCGGTAATATGTCAGCTTCAAATATTACAGCTACATGGAAAGATGAAAACTTACTAGTACCTATATTCTTGAAATACAATATACAGTTGCAATATGATAGCATAATAACATGGTACGATAAACAATAAACGATTCAAGCGCTATAATAACTACAAAAAGTGAAAATCCCAAAGCAATAGAAATACAATATTATAACAAATACAGTATAGTTGTATACAAATGTACGAATAATCAGATAATCATGCACATGTATAATACTGTACTTCTGAAAATGTATTCATGTAACAATGTAAAAATCATGTAATGGAATAAGACCGTAGGAAAGATGTATCTCAACGATGAAGTAAAACGATCATGCTGTTCGCCTTCCTCAAACCAAACACTTCCACCCGCCTCATGCTCGCGCCGCAGGTGCTCCGTGACGTCAGTTGGAATGGCCGGGATGATCAGGTGAACCATTCCCACCACGAAGACCTTGGTAGACCCTAAACCCTAAACCCCTAAACCCTAAACCCTAAACCCGACACCCTAAACCCTAAACCCTAAACCCTAAACCCTAACCCCTACACCTTAACCCCAAACCCTAAACCCTACACCCTCTTAGGGAGTCGGGAGTTGCTACAAGGAGGACCAGATGACGGTTCGGAGTCTTCGACTGCCATACTGCTCCCGAACATGCCCAAGAAGCCCCCCAGCCCACAACCATCCAAAACGCTCTTCAGGCCCAAGGTGTTCATGCCTGCCACTGCCAAGCCACCAACAGAAGCATGGCGGTGCTGAAGAAGGCAATGTGCACGCCAGGTTCACAACCCAGCCAATCCTCTCAGGGAGCTGGTGCACAAAAGAGCCTCAACGCAAGAAGCTTCAAAAGACCTCCTTGGAAGGCCCCAAAAAACACGGTTCGAAGATCGACCGTCGGCTTGGCGTGCCCGGATTGACTTTGCATCAACTAGCGGGAACGCGCAGGTCTTGCAACCCTTCCGACTGTCTCGGGGCCATGTGGTAGTGGATGCAAACACCTGCTCCCAAGATCCCGAAAATATTTCCCGAAAAGGACCGTTAGATACCTTAGATCAACCTCCATGCGGGGTGCGGACCCGAAGGTAAATGTGACTGAAACCACTTCGGAAGAAGGGCAACATGCTGGTGAGCTCAACACGCATGCACGGTTCCCTAAACCCTAAACCCTAAACCCTAAACCCTAAACCCTAAACCCTAAACCCTAAACCCTCCTAACTTAGAACCCTCCCTGTGAACCTATTAGCGACGACAACCCAACCTCGACGAGGGTGGTTCTCCAGGTGACAATCGCCAGGTTTGACAGCCTTGAGTGGGGGTGTAGGGTTTAGGGCTTAGGGTTGTGCGTTCAGAGAGTTTAGGGTTTAGGGTCGATCGAACCAGATTTGACCCTTCGAGTTCTCAGTTGGCGTTTCGCAAAGTTCCAAACGCTTGAACATGCCGATTACACACAGCAAAGTCCAGTATGACACCATGTCCCATGTCATAGAATATCAGGTTACAAGACATGATACTGTATTGCGATGTATGTGATACAGAAATTACAGATGCGACTTGGATGCAAGTAATACTCCCCCTTCTGAACCTCTTGGGTATAGGGGCCCATGATGTGTACGGACCCTGAGACCTGGGGGGGTGCGGTGGTGACCGCGGAACTGAGGTGGCTTGACTCCCACCTACCATATCATCAGTTGATCCGAAGCCATGGGCGTGCCAAAGCTGGACAACTCTGGCTGATGCTCATGATGCGCCCATGCCTCTGGCCGCTCATGATGCACGCTCTGAGGGCCAGAATGATGCTGCTTTGGGGCGCCCATGGCCACCGGATGATGCTCACGATGCTCGCCTCGGGGCGCCCACGGCCACCGGATGATGCTCATGATTCTCGCTTTGGGGCGCCCATGGCACCGGATGGCCTCCGGATGAGCGTATGCCACCGGATGCTCATGATGTCGCTTTGGGGCGCCCTGTCACCGGATGATGCTTATCGATGCTCATGATGCTCGCTTTGTTTTTTGCGGCCTTTTGCCTTCGTTCGGTGCTACAATCTGTTGCGGCTGCGCGTGGGTTCTGCATGCTTTCTCTGACCCGCGGGTCTATGTCTCCACACAATGGCATCCTGGACCAAGTGGGCATCAAACTCCCAAAACAGCATCTGCATTGCGGCCACAGTGCGCGCCGATATACCTCGGTTCGTTGAGGCAAGGTGATGGGCAAAAGGAAAGGCTCTGGCTCGGGAGGGAACTTTCGGATGACTAAGCCTTAAAAGCAACGGAGCAAAGTCCCATACCTTAATAACGACCTAAACCCTATTCTTCGGATGATCAAGCCTGCAAAGCAACGGAGCAAAGTCCCTTACCTTAATAACCCCAAGCCCGAAACCCTAAACCCTAAACCCCAAACCCTATAAACCCTAAACCCCACTGTTAAGGCCATCCCAAAATAGCATTACCCGAAAGCCAAGCGCCGAGTGGCACGTAGGACTGGAAGATGGCCAGCCATGCCCGCGGGAGGCCTTTCGCGAAGCGCGGCTTCGGCTGGCGCCGGTCCAGGAGCCTTGGGACTCCCCTAAAAGAACCCCCTTAGGACGCCTAGGAACCCTAAACCCTAAACCCTAGACCCTAGACCCTAAACCCTAAACCCTAAACCCTAAAACCTAAAACCTAAACCCTAGAGCTGTGTTGAGCTGGGTTGAACGTGTTGAGCACTAGGTCTGGATTCAGACCTTCATGCTCTCAATCACTAACAGACTCACAGGCACTAGTAGCCCTCGCCAGTTGCAGGATGTGACAGGTGTCCTACAGGGGCATCCTACACTTGGAGACCTGAATCATGGCCAATTGAATCCGGCCACACAAGTTATATCATATGAGCCTATACACCCAAGAGCAGATGAGTTTCAGCTGAAAGCTAAAAAAGGCCCACGCGCGCGAGAAGCCGTAGCCAAGGGGCTGAAACAAGTCCATCTGGAACTCTACCAGAAGGTGCCTGGGAGGCTTATGAGGCGTATGTGGCCTTAACAGGGCTTGAGAGGGCCCAAAAAGGTTCCAGGGCAGGGGCCAGGCCTCGAACATGTAGCGGCAGTTTTGCTTACTCGAAGCCGTAACCGAAAAAAGTGCCAGCCCAAAAGCCTTGACCCTGTCCCTTCTCCTCTCTGTGCGACGCTGGCCAGGTTTCCTGAAGGCTCGTTCCGCTGAAAAGACGCGACCCTCAACCTCACCCTCGAACCTGGAGTCGAGAAAAGCTGCGCCAAGAACAGGAGCGGGGCGAAGGGATAGATCCTGGGCCGCAGGAAAGAAGTTCAGGTATTAGGGTCAGACTTCAGCGCATGCAGCCGCTTTGCTGCAGGGCCGGCAACTCAAGCGAGGCTTCTAAGCACCCTCAACCTTAAATCCTGCTGCCAAGATCATATCTATGCAACCATCGGCACCCTGCTACAAGTAGACCTGGCTTTAAATCGCCATTGGATATGGAGTTTCACATTACAGGGGAACACTTCTGCAGGCCCTATAGTTCGGATTAGATAGTATTGTGGGGGGGTAGACTGCGGGTTGGAACATGCCTCTTGCTGAACAGCAATTCTAGACTGCTGCTTGCGGTCCCTCCAAGCTGTCTTGCCTGGTTGGACAACTCCTGCCGCTCACTATTAGCAGAAAGAACTACAAATGCCCGCTAGAAGGTGTGCCTGAATGGTGGGAAACCCTCTCATCAACATTTCGTGACTTCAATTGCTGTCGCTGTCGCACTGCTGTCGCTGCGTCGTACCCGCGCACGATGCTACGTGGACATGTGCGAGCCAGGTACTAGCACCTGTGAATCCGCCAGGTATGCTTGAAGCCTAGTGTCACTGTCGTGAGCGATGTCACCAGGAAGTGGACAGAGAGGTCCGTCGCCGTATCTAACACGTCCCAGGGCTCCTTGGATTTTCGGGCTTTGCGGGGGCATTTCTCCGCCAGAAGTTGGCTATCACGCTGCCATTACCATGCAGGACTTGAGACTGGAGTCACAGTTCTACCGTATAGACTCCGTAACTACACCGAACAGCGCCTGCTTGTCCAGCTGGCACTCGCACGCTGCAGTGAGCTCTTTCCTAGGTTCAGTGGGGGGATCAGATGTCAAGGGTGGTGCCATAGTCCCATGCACAGAAGGCCTGCAGATCGCCATGGAGATCAGAAACTGCAACATCAGCAACATCAGACTGAGACATCCCATGCATACTCCAAAACAAGGGTACATGGAACCCCAACTACCCACCCATCCATCCATTGTCCACAACGAAAGCAACATCCCACCCATGTCCGCTGAGCATCGGCAAGTTGGAGGGTCCTCCCGCGGGTAGGCGTCAAAAAAAGGTAGGCTTGGGGTCTCCGTGACAGATGTGCTTGTTAAGTAGGGTTTATAGGGTTTACAGGGTTTATAGGGTTTAAAGGTTTTATAGGGTTTAGAGGTTTTATAGGGTTCATAGGGTTTAGGGGTGAGTGTTCATGAGTTTTCGCGTCTTGCTTCGTGCGGAGTTTGGCCTTCATCCTACTCGCATTCTCAGACTTCGGGGGGTTTCCGAAATCAGGATTACCTTGTTGGGATCCTCATGATAAGGCCCTACTATTTAGGGATCTATTTTGGGGGTCCCCCATTCTCGTAAACCCCCAGATCTGAGCTAAGTACGGCCAGCACTCCAAGAGACTAGCTCCGTGTGCTGTCAATGCCAGAAAATAGGGTCGGAAGAATTACCAATAGTATTCCCTTCTGATCCCGTTAAAGTTACACTATAACAACCCCCAAAACCCTATTCGATTTGTTCAGGCCACTATATTAGGTGGAAACCAGAAGACCTCGAAAATTCCAGGGGAGTACCCCCCACATCTGCATGGAGAGGCCATCCTTTGGATTCACAAAGTTCTGTCCTGCATCGCCTGGCAAATCGGTGGCGCTTCGCTGCCACCTCCCACAGGGACTTGGGGACTTAGGTCTGTTGCTTCCGGGCTTCAGGATTTGGATTGGAGGTCCCAGGCTGCAAGGGAAGCTTAAGGTGCAGGGTCTTCGAAGCCGTAGAAACATGTTGGCAAGACACGCAAGACTTTTTCTACAAATGCCCGAAAAGTGCCAGGGGGGCGCCGCCCCCCCCCCCCCCCCCCCCAAGCTTTAGACGACCTCATCAACATCGATAAACACAAGCATATATCCACGCCTCTTATTTCTCCCTCTGAAACAGGATCCTTGAACTGCACAATTTCCTCACCTAAGGGTGCATGGGATCATCAAGAAGCAAGTCCCTTCAACATCTTCTAAGGGCCCTGCCCCGCCTAAACCCTCAACCCTAACACCCTAAATCCCAAACCCCAAACCCCAAACCCTAAACCCTGCATCCCTAAACCCTGAACCCTAAACCCGTCGGCCTCTTCAAAAGAGGGGCACGCCGGGAGCAAAGGGTGGCCAACCAG